CGTGCATTCTAGGTGCCTTCAAGGGACTTGGACATTGTTTTTTACTCTTACTGTTACTGTTTCGCGGTAAGTATGGCTTTCAGTTCTCCCTCTTTGCGCCAGAATCGGAGTGGCAAAAGAGCCTCATATGAGGCGAAAGCCTCAAATGAGGCGCATTGTCCAATAGACACTAGTGTCTATTTGACATTTTTTCCTCATTTGAGGATCGCATATCCTCAAATGAGGATGAACTCGAAAGAGTTCCCAGCTTCTCTTAAACGCAGATCCAGTCCACTTAAAGACTATCAATGTCAATACATTTTACCTGCATCAAAAAAGCATTTAACTTCATAGATCTGTACTCATCTGTGGAAAATTCGCTGTATCGTACGAACGCTGCCCCCGTAAACTTAATCATCCAAACAACTTCACTGCAATCGCCCACTCTCATAAATGCTCAAAACTGTTCTTTACGTACAAAATACCGTTGCTGAGCTCAACTTCGCCGGGCTGGGGATATTAATCTAGTCGTGAACCACGTCTAAGTGAGCCTCGAAACAACTACGCTGCGTTTGGGAATGACATAAAAATATCTCACCTCCCCCGTTGTCCAAGCACTTAGAACAGATCCATTTCGTCTTCTTAGGACATAATTTGCACTTGTTCTGCATACGAGCGCCCCGTACGCGTCCTGTTCTGGTGTGTCGCAGTCGCTTAGTACGTGTCAAATGAACGTCAGTTCCACTACGAGGCTGTCCCAATACGACACTTGCATCTGGACTGTCAGATCCAGACGAAGATCTGGATGCCCGCCGTCGTACACCTGTCTCATCCCACGAGTTGTTGATCAAGTCCGTGGCTAATTGACACCAGAAGCTGTGGGGTGACATCATCGGGCGACCTCGCCGTCCAAACTTATATAAATACCATGCATCAGTACAAACCATTCCTAACACAGTGCTATTCATACGGAAGCTCCATTCCTTCACTTCGATGCTCTTCTCGAAATCTAAACTGTCTTGTCGCACACGATTGTGCTGGTTGATAATGCCAGCAACGTCGAAGAACTCGAAGACAGGTCGAGGCATCTCAATATTGATTACGGTAGGACAAGCGCCATCTCCAAATTGGCGCTATCGCGTGCGGGTCTGCGAAAAAGATTCCTGCATATTCCCGCATGTTGTGACGAATGTCCTTCGATTGCGGTCAAGCCACGAAATTGCCCCGATTTTTTTGCTCTGCCCATTGACCGTTACGTTCGTGATAAGAGATATAGAATCTCCCTTATCATACATTGGCAGGCGATTTAAGTAACCAATCGGAAAGCGAGAGGTGGCGGTTTTCACCACACCAGTAAACCGGAGATTCATCCCCAGCAGTGCTTCAGCGGCATCCACGAATGCAAAAGTGGCAATCTGCACAAATGATTCGCTCTCTGCCGTTCCACAGTGCAGCCAGCTCCACCAATACATTTGTGCCGTTATTGTGTTCGTCCGAGGATGTTCGTGCTGTTTCGGCTGCTGTTTTCACGATTTTCAAACCAAGCAAGATACCCGAACTGCCGCAAGCGATATTTTGAATCTCCATCCCACTTTCTGGTTTCTGGTCAAGCACAACAAAGTGTGGGGATCCAATGCTTATCCAGCTGCCGCCTAGACCGTACCAACGTGACATCGACTCATCAACGAATAGACGTTCCGATAGGAATACATTCGCCTGCCTGTGCGCATTAAATGCAACTATAAAATCATCACACAGTTGCCATTGGTGCCGTTCTTCGGCATTCGGACCCACCGGTGCTGTTGCATTCTGCTTGCTAAATCGAATACAGCTTCGTAACAATTCGAACCTTGAGGGCGCCATAGCCTTTCCAAAATTGTATGACGGTAAATATTCACTCCCAGAGTCTCGCCGCCATAAATCACGTCTATTACCGAACTGTACTCTCGTCATGAGAACTAAAACTCCAAAGAATCGCATAATTTCTCCAGTTGTAGTTGGTAAACTGCTGCGATTCAGCAAATTATCATTTTTGAGTTCGACAATACGCGCTAAATGGGTCACTAGCATCATAGCCATGAAGCAGTCCATGGCATTAAACATATGCGGTGCGGCGCCTTCTTGAATAAATGTGCCGTCAGGACACTGTATTTTACAGGCCAATCCTGTGACGGGTCCATTGAGCGTGCCACTATTTGATGAAAGCTTCCAGACTTGGTTGTGAGCAATTATGTCATCTTCTGGCGTATTTCGGGGCTGTGGGAGTATCACTGTGGCACGTATGTCACACGAGGGACCTTCTGTCCCACTATGCATGTGGGCTTGTCGAGTAATGATATCATTTCCATGACCTGTTCCAATGTTGGAAAGTGGACTGGGTTCTGTAGGCAACGTTGAAATTGCATCAGATGAGGGGGTCGTATTTTCCTCTTCAAAGAGACAGTTAAACACATATAGAGGATTGTCCTCGGGACAGGCTGCCTGTCTGGACAAATCTTGTAGAGTTCCTAACTTTACAGAACTCAGAGGAAGTGTTACAATATTTGCTTCTGTACTAAAAACAAATGCGCGCCTGATATAGAGGTAAGTTCGGTTCTTGATAAGTTTTGAGTGAACATCCAAGACCCTACCATCCAAATGGGTGTCAGTGTACTGTGTACCAAAGACTTTCTTTGCCGTCCTTTTGCCCAGAACTCGGGATGCCAGGGCATGGATTAATGTACCCCGAGAGAGGCGCAGATCGGTAGGCATAGTTAGGGTGTTAGTTTAAGGCGGACGACGGATGCAAACTCGCGAGTAACTTCATCATCGACTGGCGTGTGCCAAAACTTTTTAGGGGCGTTTATAGAGGACACGAATGGGCAACTTTTGGTGGGAAATGGGCTCTGGGGCGTTGCGGTTCCTATGCGCTATCCCGCTAAAACACTGCCTCATGTGAGGATTTGATCCTCATATGAGGCAGGATGTCAAATAGACACTAGTGTCTATCCGACCAAGCATTATCATAACATAGAAATCTGCGAATTTTATTTCTTTTCAACTTTGATGCCCACGGTTTCTATTTTTCATTCGTAGATTGACTGGTTTTACATTTTTCTAAAGTTAGAACCGAATAAGCAGCACTCGAGCACATGTTTCTGTGATACTGGTATAAAAGTAGCCTAAAGAAAATGCTTACTGTGGGGCCACATTTTCTTTCGTACACCTTTATAAGCATCAACAAGTTGATTTTCGCTAGAATCGACAAGAAAATGCTTTACCTGTGGTGATGGCCTCTGGTTTCAAAAAACACAAGTGAAATCCCGAGTTTGGTTGTCTAGAAAAAATAAAATAAGTTTTGTCCTCAGGTGATGACTAATGGTCTGATAGACACGAGTCATATTTAAATTGTTGACGGCTGCTCCAGAAATGTCATGCTTGCAATTAAAACAGAGACATCCCATGATCGCAAACATCGCGGGAAAAAGGATGTTTAAGGCGTCGAAAGCACTGGAAAACAAGCTGAAGCAGTAACATGCTGTGGCCCTTCGCAGCTTGCCAAACGTGCGAACTTTGCACTCGAAGATGAATGCCAAGGTTGATGTAGAATATAGTCAGGTCCATGTGAGGGACTGCAATTTTAATCTACTTCCTAGAAACACTTCCAATTCCTTTTACGCTCTCATGAAAATGCGTTTGATCGCTTTAGTGATGTTGTTGATGAGAATGCCCCTAAGGATGTGCCTGAGACATATTTTGTGACGTTGAAGGCCCTGAAGGTTGAAGGCTTGGCGAGTAGCAAGTAGGCATCGGATAAAGACACGAAGGGGGATACCATATCGTGACAACAGTCAAACTTGCGTCCCAACAACTGTACGAAAAGTGGTGTGGAGACGGTACACATTGAGATGGATGAAAGGCTTTCCAAGGGTGTAGGCGCCAAATTGGTCGAATATGGCGAGCTTCGGCATCAACTTCCACAGTGCGGGAGTGCTTTCGCAATAGAGTAGCGACTTCGAAGGGCTCTCCGGCACACAGACGCTTCATGCGATTGAATTCACAAACGGCAGCAATTGGTACCCATCCATCAGAAAGTGCAAGACTCTGCAAGTAACTATCGTTTAAGTAATTTTGTGGACTAAGATAGTATTCGACTTGCTCGACAACTGCGGGCAGGGAAATCCCCGGCGGACGGATTGTCATGAAAGATGAGAATGCGTTTACGCTGGACATTGGCGTGACGACGAGAGGCCAGCGGAGTTTTAGCTTGCCACTGACGAAAGAAAGAAAGAAGAACAAGAATGGAAACCGAACTAGAAAGGCACACACGTGAATAGGGGAAAGAAAGAAGAAGAGAGCTTTTGGCAATCTTGTCGAAAAAGCACGAGCAGAAATCAGTGGCCCGTCGAGTTTGTAAACTCCAGGTAGAACGGATATTCGCAAAGAGAAAATGTAGGCCTTGCAATTGTGGTCGGAAGAGAAGAAGGAATTGGTTCCGAGGCAAAGACTAGGAAGATAGAAAGAAGAAGAACGGAATATAGAATGGCGGGCAATTGGCAAGTGAGGACGGATAAGTTCGAACAACTGCTATTACATGAAAGAGATGAGTAGGCGTGGGTGGCTGGTGGCAAGCCAAGATTTTTAAGGTGGGCAGTGGAAGCAGGAGTGAGGCGGACAGTCTCCAAGGTTCTGTGAGTGTTGCATCTTAGGACTATGAAAGTAGGTGAACGTAGGGCGCGTTCCATTTCATGCGAGCGGAGTGTATAGAGCACGGTTTGAAGGACGGATGGATTTATTCCAGAGACGAATGAAAGGGAGACACGGCGCCTAATATGTGGGCACGAGAGGCCCGCAGCGTTCGTTTGCACCTTTGCACATTCCGGGACGGCATGATGTATCGCTATAGCGATATCTTGGACAGACGTAGCTGTAGAGGTGAGATCGAGGGAAAGGGGTCTCCCGGACATGTGAATGCGTTTGACTTAACTCGGATAGAGCTTACAGATGGACCAGCAGGGTACCTTGCTGAGCACCAATCAGTCACAGTAGAATTGTTTACAGTAAAATATAAAGTATAAACAAGTCGGCCCATCATGGCCTCCCATACCACTGAGAGCAACCACGCAGCAAGAGGTTGCTCACCCCATCAAGTAAAACGCCGACGTCAAGATGAAGTAGCACATCACCAACACAGCCCCCTCTAGCCAGTTTGACCGTGAGTCTCTCAACGTCGCGTTCACTACAAACACGCTGAACCCAAGACAGATAGTCTCGAACAGCTGAAAATTCAGCGTCAAATGCTCATTCCCAAACATCCAGCTGACCACCACGAGAAGCGGTGCGACAAACAACGCAATCTGTACAGAGCTTCCGCACGCAATCCCTATGGACAAGTCAATCTTGTTGTGTCGCGCCACAAAGATCGCACTCATGTGCTCCACCGCGTTACCCACCACCGGCAATAGCACGACCGCGATGAACTTCTGCCCCAGTCCGACGCGCACGGAGAACCCATCAATCGAATCCACAATCATCTCCGAAGAGAACGCCACCAGCACAACCATCCCGATCAGAATCCCCAGAGCGACCGGCAAGCTCGCCACATCCACCACCTCCACCTCGTCCTGTGCCTCCTCCTCCTCAATCCCAAATATTTCGACGTCATTGGTAATATCCGCCGCCGAGCCGCCGCTCTCATACAGCTCGGCATGCGTATATAGCTGAAAGTATAAATACATGCAGTAAATCAGGAGCAGGCATATGCTGGTGACGAGAGACATACGCTCCTCGGCGTCTGCTTTCGTCGCGCTCTCCGGCAGGGCCATTGCAAACAGCGCCGGGATGGAGAAGCCAAAGACGGCGAAACTGAGCAAGTCAGCGTTCGCCTCCGACACGGCCGGTAAGACTACTTGTTCGCGATAGCGCAGGCCGCCAAAGAAAAAGGCGCTTCCCAGCACAAGCAGCAAATTACTCAGCACAGAGCCCGCAATGGTGTTCTGGATAAGCTCCATCTTCCCAGCGCGCAGGGCCGATATGCACAGTATCAACTCGACAGCATTTCCAAAGGTGACGTTGACCAAGGCGCCAAAGGTCTGATTGGTGTGCTCGGCGATATCCTCCGTGGCCTTTCCCAGGAGCATGGCAAGCGGGACCATGCCGACGAAGTTGAGCGAAAAGGTCCATATCGGGGGTGCGTTGAGAAAGCCAGCCACCAGGCCGAAGGGGACGAAGATGAGAAAGAGGTTGACCCACGAGGAATAGCCGCCCAGGCCTAGAGAAAGGCCGTTCTGCAGCTGGGTGAGCTGGCCGCCGCACACGGAAATGCCGAGATCGGAGAAGCCTGAGACGCGACGGGGCACAGGAGTCGGGCCAGAGGAGTGGCGGGCGGTGAGGGGCGGGCGCTCCTGCGGCGAGGATTGGGGGAATTCTGTGCGGCGGCGGGTGGGGAGTGAGCCGTATGTGGTGGTTGTGGTGGTTGAGGCGTGCGGCTTTGGCTGAAGTAGGGCGGTATCCATGGTGAAGGATTGGTTGCGAGGGGAAAGCGATGCTACAGGTGCGGCAGAAAGGAGGATATGGAAAGGGCGAGAGAGCGGGGGCCGAGTTGTTGCTGACGCGGCATAGAGGTTTTGAGGGACGGGAATTGATTGCGGGAGACAAAGGGTGGATTCGTGTGTTCGCTTCGATGGGGGAGATAGTACTGTAGCAACACTCGTAGTAAAGATTACACGAAAAGCAACAACAATGCTGTGAGTGGGTAGGAGGCGAAAAGAATTACGTGTATGAACGACGTGAGCATCACTTGTACGCGATGGAGACTATGTTCGTCTCTGTGTGTGAGGGGGCGGGCTGCCCGGTCAAACCAGTTCATGTCCTTCAGTCCGAGACTGGTGGGCGCGATACGCCGACACCTCCAGCGTAGATTACTGATTAATAGTTAAATCTACGATGGTGCGCATACAAAACTCTCAGCTTTGGTCCGACTAGATACGTCGCCCAATGCCAGCCGTCCAAGTATGGACGGCAGCGGTCCGGAGCGTTCCTATTGGACGAAGTAGCTTTCGTAAAGTCACAAAAATACGTGTTTTGGCGGCGAGTTGCTCGGATTATCGAAAAATTTTCAAATAACTCGTTTGGCAGAACTCACAGCATACCGAAAACTCGGGGCATGTGAGTTTTCCAGGAGTGACACACCCTCAGGGTGTGTCTTACAGTAACAGGCTGGTTTTTGCTTGCCTTGCCCGGTTTTGCCAGGAATACTTTTAAATTCTTAACAAATACCGTATGCTTCGTAAGCCCTTGCTTTTCTTAAACTCAAAAATTAAAACGTAAGAGCCAATCATAGCACGCCAAATCACCTCTCTGGGCAAAGCAAAGCAAACTGCAGAAAAACGGGGCATGTTAAGACACTTAACATGATGCCCTTTCGACTGACACACCCTCAGGGTGTGTCTTAAGTTAAGACACTTAACATGCCCTTTCGACTGAGAACCATTCTATCCCTGTGGCGAGCTACTGTACAACAATATGCGCTTCAACGAGTATTCGCGTAGGTGCACGTGGCGGCACAGCGATGGACCAGACTTTCGTTTGTTACGGGCAGGTACAGTACCTTGCTGGAGGTCAGTCCGCAAAACTCGTGGTGGAAATTTTCAAGGGCCATTTTGCGTTTAGGCTTTTGCCATTTCACCTCTTGATCACTGCAAAAATGCACCTGATCGCCCCCCCACATGCAACAAAAAAAAAAAAATTCCGGAGGCGCCCAATATCTCAATTTTCAAACTCGGGTTTACTTTAGGGTGACCCCGACCGCAGACGAAAATCCTTGCCCAATTTTTCCACCACCAAATTTTAGACCACTGGGCAAGATTGGCAGACCCCACCGCGCCTCTACCATTCCTAAAGTTTGGAAATTGCCCAGGATTCTCGCCCAAACCAAAAATGTTTGGGCAAGAATGTTCCTAAAAACCGCTACAAATTTTACAGATTTTCATCGTGCTGACAGCGTGCCCAGACACTTGGCTTTGGACGCCAGAGCACAGTCGCAGATTGCGCTTTTCTCTCTTCAGCGCAATCTTGCCCGGAATGCAGCAGTGGGGTCCAATCCCATATCGACCCCTTGCCCAAATCGTCGCTTGCCCAAGCGATAGTCGAGCCAATTAAAATATGCCAGCTGTCAACGTTTGGAGTTTTGGGCGAGCCACCGCGGCTCGCCCAATTACGCCTAGCGAGTTTGTGAGGAAATGGAAAAAAACAAGCGTTATTTTACGGACAACCTTAATATCATCATTCAGGTACCTGACACCGTACACGTCGCTGACGCGTACACGCATCCAAAATGACAACATGTTTACGTGTACACATAACAGAGCCAATCACGTGGACACGTAACAGAGCCAAGCACAAGCCCGGCCACATCACATCCGCTTCACGTCCTACCCCCCGCCCCCATCTCCCTCCGCACGGCCTGCAAGTTCCGAGCCGTCTTGCTTGCATCGCGCCTTGTCTCCGTTATCAAGCCTATAAGCTTAGCCCGCAATGGCTTGAAGTCCTCTTCCACGCTTGGAAATGGTGTCCCTCCACGCACCTCCGTCACAAGTCCAATCCTAATTCATCTATCGCGCCCCATCTCCCCTATCCATGCTCTTTATCTTAACACCTGGCATTCTCATGCCGACCCACTCCCCAACTCAACCCTCGTCGCCAGTTCCATGCGCCACTCGCCAGTCGTCAATCCTTTTTCACATACGACCCCCATCCTGCTGTCACCCTTCTCCCGCATTTCGCCCCTCCCCGCCTTTCCACACAGTTGCACCCCCTCACATGTCACCTCTCTTTCCTTGCCCCTCTCCGCT